ATATATATTTTGTACAAGATGCCCCACACAGTTTTCACAGAGGAATACATGCACACATATAACATACCACACAAAAATTCTATATATATATATATATATTTTGTACAAGATGCCCCACACAGTTTTCACAGAGGAATACATGCACACATATAACATACCACACAAAAATTCTGAATATCACAGAAACCCTATGCACCTCAACTCAAGGATATTCTCAGGGTCATCCCCAATCCTTATGTTTGAAGCTTTCTTTTCTAGCCACCAATTCATTACCTAAATATGTTCCAGGTCTTGGATCATCCGCAGTGCTTCTAAATCAAGATGTGATGGAGACAGAGAATTCCTCCTTCACACCACATTCTCATTTACTTTCCTCCTCGGCCAGTAACCCCTCCATGTCTGCAGTATCTACTGGAAAGAAAAGAATAATGAATGTCTATTACAAGCCTGTCCCAGGGAAAAGGGTGTGGCTGCTCTGGAGGACACAGAAGATCTGGAGCCTCCTGCTAAGATGATGAGAATAGGAACAGTTACCTGTCCTGAGAGGATCCCTTCAAGAACCAGCCCTCCTCCTGTGCCCCTAGCAGGTATCCAAACTGATGGTGAGGATGGCTTGGACATTGGATGGCAGGAGGAAAGTGAAGTGGCTGAGAAGCCACCTGAGGATCTGGCCCAGGGAGGTGGTCTGTTAATAATAAGATAATTCCTTCCATTTTAGTACATTGAAATAACAAATCCCAGAAAGGAATTGCACACTCTAATCTGGTTATCCTGAAACAGCACGGGATGTTCTTGAACAGAGCAGAGACAGCATGTCTTTGATTAGAGAGATGTATGAAGAATGTTCGGAGTCTAAGAATAAGTAGGCTTCAATACCATAAGCATGTGGATTTTAATCCCTATCATTTAGCACCTCTCTAGTGTCTCGAAGAATGGAGATGTAAATATTTCAAGTGGTAGTATTTGTAGGGGTAACAAGGCATAGGTGATAAAAATGAGGCCTGAGCCTTAAGGTGTATTTCCCTGACTGAGGAGTCCTGCTGTCACTGACAGCTATTACTTCTCTAATTGAAAGCAGTTGGTGTGACCCTGGGCAACTAGTCCCAGTATTTTCTGGCCACTTCAGTAGTTATGAAGAGCTGGCAGCTTCAACACTTAGCACTACTGATTCTTTCCCCTATGGAAGCCTTCTCCACTATTGTTTCTTTTTATTTTTTTCCACTATTGTTTCTAACTTTCTGGGGAGTAGTAGGATTTCCATGTTCAACAGTAGAGATTGAGCAGACACTGGAATGGATTACATTGGTGATATTCCCAAATCCCCAACCACAACAGGCCTTGATTGCCTCTGTCACCCCACCAGGAATCTCTGGAAAAGCTGAGGCAATTTTGGCTGTCCATGAAGCAACTGCTTCTCTAAAGTTGGATTCAACTGTCATCATGACTGCTGTAGATGTCCTCATACCCCAAAATCACTGTGGTAGATATTTGTCTTGGCCACAGTGGCACTGAAACTTAGGCCCATTCCACATGACTCTCTCCTGAAGCTACTCATGATGACAATTTGAAAGCTGTGGAATAAGGAAAAGATGTTTTGACCATGAGCTGTGGGACTATCCCTCCTGGGTTGCAATCTGGATGTCAGAAAGCTGATGGATGGACTCCTGATCATTCTGACACAGCTGGATGGATCAATATATTTTTCCAATTCAGGTGGGTTACAAACTGAAATCATGAATGCATGTGAGGAGATCTATAGCCATAGCGCTGCCAGAGAAATGCAAGCTCTCACTTCCAATGTAGTTTTTCATTTTCTAATCTTCTGAAAAATGTGTAGGGATATCACATAGAAGTGGAAGAGATTCTTTGCAAATCAGTCAGAATCTTATTATGCACATACGTCATACAATAATTCCCTCCATGTTCTCCATGTAGGCATCTCCCACACTCAATTCAAGTGTTGACTTTTGGTAATGGTAAGGTCCTAGAGGTCTGCTGTCAGGAATAGGGCTGGGCTGTTACAAGAAGCCTGATGGAGCTTGTCTGGTCCTTTACTTTGTGAGGATGCATGGGGCAAAAGGCTCTGTCTGTGAGGCAAGGGCCCTAGTAGACACTGATCATGGACTTTCCAGCCTCCAGAATTGTCAGTGACACGGTTCAGCAGTTTATAAATTACTTCCTCTAAGGCATGTTGTTGTTGAAGTCCAATTGGACTAAGACAGACATTTCTTCAACTAGTCTTCTGATATCCTCTTTTAACACTTGCACTTTTACTGTAGTGCTAGGCCTGGGAAGAGTTGTTTTTTTTCCTGTCTCAGCTTCCTGACTTTTCACTCATTCCTTACGTCATAAAATATGATTGCATCCTTGTCTCATACCTCCCAAGTTTCTTCCAGTGCCAGTTAGTATTCTCTGTGTCTTGAATTTCACATCTTACTCCTTTCTTTTTTTCCAAGTCTTTTTATTTTATTTTTTTCCCATAATTTTATTGATAAACAAATAGCAATGAGACAGTTTCAAATCAAATTGGTAGGACAGTTTCAATAATTAACACACTGCATACATTCTTCCTAGTGGTTAAATCTTACTCCTTCCTGCCTGTATGCTCTGACCTTGTCTTCCCAGACAGTTCATCTACCATCTATGAGAATCCCCCAGCTCAAAACTCTAGGCATGAGCTCTTTCTCAGGAAGAGAACCCACTTCCCAAAACATCCCAACTGTCCACCTGAATATTACAAACACCTCAAGTCCAGTATATCCAACCCTACCATTAGTAGCTACAATTAGTAATTGTATTAGTATCTTACAATCATTAATTCATGTTTTTGCAAGCCTAATTTTCAGTTGGAGGGCACTTGGCAGCAGTATTCAAGTAATTTTGATCAACCTTGTGAGGACATTCATGAGAGGATTTCCAGAATTGCTTACAAAGTGGCAACAATGACAGATTAGAATGTGCAAAACAAGAATCATATTTTGAGGGGATTAAAGGCAGTGTACCTTCTAGTATAATACATTTTTAATTTAAGTATTCACCACTTTTTTGATCACTCTTTGTATTATGAACATTTTTTGTTATTTGTCTTGTTTTTGTAGTGTTGGGGATCAGACTCAAGCAATCCATATGCTAGGCCAGTGCTTTACCCATGAGGAACATCCTCAACTCCAAACATTTTAAGTAAAAAAATTTCAACTTGAATTCTGTGATAAAATAGTACCTATCATAATTTACTGAAGTTCTTATCATTCATCATTCAAGTAATTTTTTTCAGTAAAACAAAAGTTTGTGACAATATTTAAGTAGTAAAAGAATGATCTTATCATCATGAAATTGTTTTATGTTTTAAAAAAATACAGAGATAAGGGAAGTGGGTGTATCGCAGTGGTAGGACTCTTGCTTAGCTTGTATGCAACCTGTGTCCCTAATGCAAAAAAAAAAAAAAAAAAGGAGAACTTTAAAAAATTTTAAAAAAAATTACTTATTTGGTACAGGGTCTTGCTATCCAGCTTGGCGTCGTAGTGATCCTCCTGTCTCAACCTCCCAATCCTGGAATTACAGGCGTGCACCACTGTGCCCAGTTCTGGGGCCGCATACCATATGGTAACATGGATCAAACCCGGGTGCTTGCGGTTGACAGGTAGGTGCTTGGAGCGCTAAGCTATCTTCCCAGCCCTGGAGAAACTTTTAGAATCATATTTTCTACTGGTAATATGGATTGGTGGTGGAAAGCAGTAAAATTAAAACCCAAACTGGAATCCATTGACAAAGAAGCAAATAGGTAAAATTTCAAGATTAGTGAGAAAGTATACTTGCCCTGATTTTTTTTTTTTTTTTCCTAAATTAATGTTTTAGGTACAGGGTTTCGCTATGCTTCTCGGAATCCTGAGTGATCCTCCTGTTTTCAGCTTCCTCAGCGTTGGGATTACAGCGTGCACCACCAAGCCGGTCATGGGTTTAGAGTGCTCAGAGGCTGGGCTGGCCGGCATGGGTACAGGGGATCGAACTCTGATCCCTTAGCTTGCCTAAGCAGGCGCTTATTCCACTGAGCTATCTCGCCGGCCCATGAATTTGAAGCAACAAAAAAATTGGATTTTCTTGGTGACGCTAAATGTTTTCACACCCTATACACAGAAAAATCCTAAAATTACTAAAAAACCCTAATGAATACAGTAAATACAGTAAAAATAATAACAAACGTGTGTCAGGAGCCACTCAACAGTAGTACACAGGCTTCAAAGGTGTACTGACTGATCTCCTAGCTCTGCCACCTCGGACCTCCGGTCTCAAGGGATGCGCGTCGCCCCGCCCCCACTCCCCACAGGCGAGGTGGAGGGTGTGGTCAGTGGGCGGAGCTCGAGCGCGGGCGAGGGTTCTGCCCAATGTCTGAGGAAGCGCTGCTAGGAAGGGGAAAAGAACTGCGCCTCTTCTCTTTGCTGAAGTGGAGGAGGCAGCTGCGGCAACGACTCTCTGTCTAGGACCAATTGGATTCCAGACGCGGCCATCTGGAAATTGTCGCGTCTTTCAGTGCCTCGGCCGTCCTGGACTGCAACTCCCAGGTGGCTCCGCGGCGCAGCCCCTGAGCTGCACTGAACTGCAACTCCCAGGCGGCCCCGCGGCGAAGTAACTTCAGTGGCACTGGACTACAAGTCCCAGCAGACTCCGCGGCGCCACGTCTGCCTTGCGCAGTGGCACCCGCGGTTGGTCGCCAAGACAACCGGGCGAAGATAAGCGTTAGATGGCCGAAAGTGTCCCTTTCTCAGCGGTGCGCTTGGCGGTGTATCCCCTCCCCCGTTGCTCCGTTGCTTACTCTATGTGATCGACCTTACTTGCCAGGTCTCCGCTGCCTGTCTCTACAGGTGACCACGGCGCTCGCGACGTCTGGGGTATCGCGCCTGCTCTCCGGCTCGAGGCTGCTTAGAAGAGGAGAGCGGTCTGGGTAGGAGGTTGAGGGGAGCCTTTTTTCTGTATCGGGATACAGTGGTCTGGTCCGCACGGACCTAGTGAGCATTTCCCTGGAAGTCTGTAGACTGGGGTCGATAGGAAGGCGAGGCGCAGTCCGCTCCATTTAACGTCAGGTAAGAAGCACCGATGAGGGAAACTTCGGAAGCTAAGTCTTTCCTCTGCTTTTATGTAGGCAGAACGGTTCCCCGAGGCGTGTGATGGATTGGGGAATGCCTGGTGTGAGCTTGGAGGAAGGATGTTTGCACAAAACGAGCAAGCTGGGGGCGCAAAACGTGTTGACCCTGGGAGCATCTTGAGAAAGGGCGCGGTTTAAGGATTTGATTGCAGGCTCAGCGTAGTGCCTCAGCATCTGCAGGCGACTTTTCAACAGGTCTCAGAGCCAGCCAGGACTTCCCAGCCTGTGGTGGCCGCGGAGGCCACACTAACACCCTAATGCTGCCCGCAATAGGATTACTGCTCCCATCCTGTCTTTATTCTGCAGACCCCAGCAGTTTATTCGAACTAAGCTGATTTTATCAGAACCTCCACCCAGTCAAGTTCTGCAGCCGACTTGAAGTGCCTGGAGAAGTTTATAGATTTCTTAGCCATCTTTTACTTTAAATATGAAATCGTATCTCACACGTATACACACATCTTATATATACACACATACAGAACTTGAAATATACTGGAGAGAAAACTGGGTTTTAAATACTGCCAGTACTGAGAGAGAGAAAGGAGAAAGGAGGAAGAGAGGGAGACAGGGAAACAGGCAGACAGGCAGACAGGGAAACAGGCAGACAGGGAGACAGGCAGACAGGGAGACAGGCAGACAGGGAGACAGGGAGACAGGGAGACAGGGAGACAGGGAGACAGGGAGACAGGGAGACAGGGAGACAGGGAGACAGGGAGACAGGGAGAGAGACAGGTGAGAGAAGTATTAGCAATAGGTAAAGAGGATGATTGCTGAGGTTTTTTTCATGGTGAAGAGTTCAAGAATTAGATTTTGTTTTGAAGACAATTTACAAGTTACTTATGAGTTTAAAGGATTTTTAAAATTGTAATTGCTGTGCTGTATTTATAGCTTACATGGTTATGTCACACTTTTTTTTTTTTTTTTTTTTTTTGGTGGTACTACGGATTGAACCTAGGGCCTGGTGCATGCTGGGCAAGTGCTCTACCGTTGAGCTATGTCCCCAGCCCTTTTATTTAATCTTGAGACTGTATTGTTCAGTATATACCCACGTGGTTTAACTACTTGATTGAAATACTTATTCCAGAAAAAAAAAAAATCCCAACAGCAATAATATAAAGTTTTTCAGGTGTTTAGCAAGTCAAATCTCTTAGAACACTTTAAATTATATACAGTGTATACATATTTATTTTTGGTATTGGGTTTTTCTTTTTTCTCCTTCTCTTGTTTTTAGTAGGAGGGGTGGAACTTAGGGGTGCTTTACTGTTGGGCTATGTTCTTATCCCTTTTAGAATTTTATTGTGGATTGAGTGTGGTGATGCACACCTGTAATCTCAGCACTTGGGAGGTTGAAGTAGGAGGATTATAAATTCAATGTCAGTCTGTGGTGTACAGCAAGTTCAAGGCCAGCCTGAGCTAGCATGAGCTAGCTACTGCTAGAACATGTCTCAAAATTAAAGCAAACCAAATCAAAATATAGAAACAAGAAAATTCCCCCATATTATTTTGAGATGGGGTCTCATTCAAGTTGTCCCAGCTGGCCTCAAAGTCGCCAGTCTTCCTGCTTCAAGTCCTGGGGGTTTAAATATGACATCTAGCACCTTGTGTCCTGTGCAGGGTGAGCACTGCTGGGTGACCAATTAGCTGGGATCATAAACTCAGCACCAGTAATGAATTAAAGGGATAGAGTTTAAGAAAGGAACATACTTTCTTTGTAAGGAAGAAAAAGTAGAAGACAGCTGCCTAAAAGAGAGGGCAAGTGGTTTCAGAAACATTGATCCTTCCCAGGCCATTTGTTCTGGCTCATGTTATCAGATGATAGTGATTCTTCCCCCTAGGTGGGTACTTGTCACAACCTGATTGACTCCTTGGGCTGTCTTCTATGGATCCCAGGCCACAAGACCCTAACTGGGGACTCCCTGCTGTGTGTGCATTTCATTTGGTGGGCTTTGATTTCTTTCTGCCCTTGAAGTTGAGGCATTTGCTTATAGAAAGGTAGCTTAATGATTAAGTAAGGGGAAGCATGTGTTTATAGTGCAGTAATATGTATAGTGACCTTAGAATAATAAAAAAAGATGTATATTACACATGCCTTGGTGTGTATATTTTTATGTACTTTAAAAAATAGTTCAATAAATATTAAGAATGGCTTTATGTAAATTTCTTATTTCTGCCTTTCAAATATACAAATTAAAAAAACAAAACAAAACAAAACAAATATACAGATTAGACAACTCTATAAGACTCAGAAAGCCAAAGGAAAAAATTCTACACCTTATCCCCAATCAATTCAATTAGTCTGCCTTTTATTTTACATAGCAAATACCTATAGAAAAATGTTCTTCAAATAAGTTCTATAGTTGCTGTGGAAAGGGTGGAAAACTTAAGTTATCTAAGTCCTTAACTACTCTTCAGAATTCTATCATCTTTTGTAGATAAACATGGTGGTCAATGGTACCATCATGTTCAGTCATAAAATTCACAACTGGGACTCAGTTTCATGGTACTTTGAGTTCTATAGCTCATGTGCCAGTTTCCATGTTTGATTTCCTTATCTCATTGGATTTTTTCAGCTATCTGTAACAGAAGATGCTGCAGTTCAGATTGAAAGAAAGTTAAGTATTTTTGCTAAGGACTCTGCACTCAGTAGTACTGGTGGATTTGAAATCATGGTCCTTGAAAGAATATTTTAAAAATTTCTTTACACAGTTTTCTTAAATGTCTCAGAAGATAGGATTAGCCCAACATAAACTTTTCAGCCCAATTTGCCAACAGTAATGAAAAAAATCTGCTTTGTTTTTCTACCCATTTGGATTTGTGGTTTCACATATGTGTCCAAAATACAAAAAAATTAAAGTTAATACAGAAATGTTAATCTAAAAGTCTTCAGATCTACTTGAGATAATTCATGATGTTAAGTGGATTTTTATTAAGAGTGAACCCTTTCTTTTTAGAGTGAAGGGAAATGTCTTTGTTTAAAGCCCGTGACTGGTGGTCCGTACTTCTGGGAGAAAAAGAAGAATTTGATCAGGGCTGTTTGTGCTTGGCTGATGTTGACAACAGTGGGAGTGGACAAGGTAAGCAGTGTCTGCCGTTCATTCTTAGCGCTGTGGGTTGAACCAGGCCTCACACCCTCTAGGCAAGTGCTCTGTTACTGAGCTGTATCCCAGCAGCATGATGGTGCATCTAGGAGCAAAGCTTTGAAAATAGCAAGTAAAAATAATGACGCTTATTAAATGTATACTTTATAGAACGTAATTGAGGTGTCATAATTACAATATTCATCCATTTATTTATTTATCTGAATCAGGGTCTCATTCAAGTTGGTGTCAAACTTGCTAGGTAGCCCATGCTGGCCTGGAGCTGCCTCAGCTTCAAGTCCTGGGATTAAGAATTCACCACCAGAACTCATTTAGAAATTATTTACAAGAAAAATAATGTCCTTTAGAAAGTGGATCTGAAATCTATTCATGTCATAGTGAAATTATGCTAGCTGTGTTTGTAGAAAACAACTGTTAAATCATTGCTGTCATTGTCCTATTATAATACTGAAGCCAATTTCTGTCCTGTTTTTACTTATTGTTCTTTGCATCTTCATATGTTTTAAGCGGCCTCTAAAACATCTAGTTATAGATCATTGGCATATGAAACTCATACAGAAAGTCCCCAACCTAGGAATATACATGTTGCAAACTTTCACTGGTGTACTGTAGAAGACTCACTTTGTTGGCTAACAAATCTTGTTTACAAATAATTCTCTAGGAATGGAACTTGTTTGTAAATCAGGGACTTATTTTGTGTGGTTTAAATCATTTGGTGTTGTGAGCTTTTCTTTTGTAATCCAGATAATCATTGGCTTCTTAGAAAAGAAGCTTCTTGTATCCTTTTTTTTTTTTTTGTTCGTTGTAATGAATATTGTCCTCTTCACTATTCTTTATTCTGTGTCTCTTTACTATAATTAAAACAGTAGGATCTGAGGAGAAAGTAGAGAGAAAAATTATGTTAACAAAGAAGAGTGATAGGTCCTACATGACATTTTAGACTATGTCAGCTATTTCTGAGGAAACTTGGGGTTCTGTCTGACACAGTAGGAGGTAGGAAGGACTCTGTTCAGAGGGTGTCCTTGAACGGCTCCTGAAGGAACCTAACCTTTGCTTACCTGTTAGAGCTGTGGTTCCTGTAAAGTTTGGTACATAAGAGTCACACCACAGAAATACTTGCCGGAGAGGACACCTTCAAACCCACTGCTACCCAAACTGTCTATAGCTTGCCTTGGTTGTAAACTGCACCTATTGATTTTCTGAACAACACACTCACTATTCCTGTTAGTGCTCCTTACTGGGGTGCCACCTGTGGTTACCAGTATGCTGAACTATTGCCCCCTAACCCCTATTATGTGGCCAGCTATGAGCAGCTTCCTCTGTTTTCCCAAGAAGTATATAAAAGCATTGTTTCTTATTTGTGTGCCATATGGATAAAAACATTGATCATTATTTCCCAGTATCTTGGAGAGGTTTTTATAGGTGAAGATTGTCTGTTTCAGACAAAAGAGATCTTACAAGATTGTATTCTCTAAGAGGGGTCAAACATCTAAATTTTGAGAATGAACTATTTCTCTCCTTCCCTCTTTTCTTTTCCCCTCCCTCCATCTCTCCCTCCACTTTGTTTTCTCCTTCCTTCCTTCCTTCCCTCCCTCCTTCCCTCCCTCCCTCCCTTCCTCTCTCCCTCCCTTCCTACTTTCTTTGTTTCTTTCTGGTTTTTTGAACCAGGGTCTTACTATGTACTTCAGGCCAGCTTCAGAGTGATCCTCCTGCCTCTACCTCCTGAGTGCTGGAATTAAACTGTGTACCACCTATCTGTCTTCATTTTGAGAATTTCTAAAGTTAAATGGTGCTGCTGTAAAGTTTGTGAATTTTTATCATCACTTTTGTGTTATAGAAATTTTGATAGAAATCCCTAGCATATAGAATAGTGGTAAAGAAGAAATCCCTGGCATAAGAGTAGTGGTAAAGGGACCGGGGAGATAGCTCAGTGGAGGAAGTGCCTGCCTGGCAGGTGCAGGGTCCTGAGTTCAATCCCCGGTTTTGCCAAGAAAAGAGTAGTGGTAAAGATTTGGGAGGGAGGGCTGTGCCGTTTGCATTTAAAACCCTGAACAAGGAGAGAAATTGGAACAAGAGGGAGGGAAACCAAGGGTTGTCCCTGGAGAATGCAGACATTAAAGGGGAAGTGTACGGAGAGGGGTCATAGGCAATTTTGAGCAGGCTGTTTGAGACAGGTGGACCATGCAGGCTGGTGTCTGAGTGGCAAGGCTTAATGATAACAGGATTGACAAGTGTCCCTGACATGTAGTAGCGAGTGGTTTATTGCCATCCCTGCTTAGGGGGGATGAATGGTTACCATGATAACAAGATCTAGATTTCAGACAGTAAGATTGATTGGGAGATGGGAGACTGTTTAAGGGTCTCTAAAGAAACTTAGCTATGAAAGGGTGATGACTTGGGGACACTGCAGGGTCAGTGTGTGGGGCAGAGGCTATGACTGACCAAACAAACATTTGGGAAGATAGTGATGGGGTCAGATATGCAGATGGAAGGATGAACTGACATTAAACAGATGGGAACTTCTTTTTCACTGTGACACAAAGCAAGAAGATAAAAATGAATAAAGATGGAGAAAGTGCGGGTGTCCTGATTAAGTTTAACTCTGTGTGGTCTATTGGACTTTAATGTTGGCATGTTTGGTCATTAAGTAGAGATGTGCTAGGAATCACCTCAGCTGCCTATTTAAGTTTTAATATGAATTTTGGAAGGTATCCAAAATCTGGCCTGTGAGTGGTACTGATTTTGACATTCTCCTTGGTGTGCAACAATTCTGTGTCACTCTCCCAATATCATATTCCTTAAATGTACAAATTCAGGAACCAAATAGGTGCTCTGAATGCTCAGAAATTGATGAAACAAACACACAAACAAGAATACATTGACTTTGTTCTCTCACTGGGTGAACTGTGCTAAAAATTTGTGTATTAAAGGGAAAGAAAAAAAAAATTTAAGTGATTGCTTCCATGACTACCATTAGCAGTCTTTCTGGAGTCTAGAATTAGTTTCTCAGAACCCAGTACTCAGTGTTCTCACAAAGCTTGAGCATTTCCTGCCCTGACTGTACTTGGGGAGATAACTCCCTGTCCAGGAGGTATATGTGGTGTGATCACAGTGACTGTGCACAGCCATGTCATTGTTCTGGGCTTCAAGTCTATACACTGAAATATGTTTGGGAAGAGGCAGAAGCCAGGACTGTCTGGTCTGGCTGCTGGGATTAGTCTTCTGTGTCACTGATATGGAATATTTATGGTTATAAACTTTAAAAAAAAAGGCCTTAATGAATGTGATTGACACATAGTAGTGCTTTATTTTTCTTTTTTTAAATTTATTTTATTTATTTATTTATTTATTTATTTGCGTGTGTGGCCAGCTCAGCCCGCCTGGGGGCAGGGCTGGCTGGCATGTGGTACTGGGAGATTGAACTGCAGTCCATGTGCTTTGCTAAGCTTGTTCTAAGTAGGTGCTTTAGACCACTGAGCTATCTCACCAACCCAGTAGTGCTTTCTTACAATTGAGTATTATTCAGAAAAAAAGCATTCATGGTTTTTTAATGGCTTCACAGTCTTTTAATTTGGGAAATCACACACTAGTTAATTAACTGTAGGTTGAACTTTGTGATCAGACTGTTAATCTAGTTACTGTAATAATTCCTCTGATTTTTTTAAAAAAATTTTTATTCTTTTGGTACAGGGTCTTGCTACGCAGCTCGGACTCGTAGTGATTCTCCTATCTCAGCCTTCCCAACGCTGGGATTACAGGCATGTGCGGGGCTGATATGGCGTGTGGTACTGGGGATTGAATTTGGGTCCTTGTGCTTGCCAGGCAGGTTCTTAGACTTCTGAGCTATCTCCCCAGCCTGTAGTACCTCTGATTTTTAAAAACTGATATATACAGATTGTTCTTCTTAAGGTTAGTTTATTACTCTGTGACTTTGACTGTCTTGACTTCCTTTTATTTCTGAGAGTAGGGCTGTCCTGAAGTCAAATCTTGGTGATTCAGTGAGTTACAGTGGGGTTTAAGCAATTACAGGATACAGGGAAACTAAATGGGGATGTTTTAGAAAAATTTGGTGGCTTAAGTCTCCTTCAATCTTTCTAAATTCTTGGTTGTTTGAGACAGGGTCTTACTCTGTAGTTCAGGCTGGCCTTGAGTCCTCAGTGGGGACTAGGCTAGCCTTGAATTTGTGATTTTCTTGCCTCAGTCTCTTGAGTGCTGAGATTATAGGTGCAAGTCAACATGCAGATGCTTTCCAGATTCTCTTAGTAACTCCATCCTAACAATGCAGTCTTATTCTTTCTGATCAGCATCACTACTTTTACTTAACAACCTGAAGAGATTTGCTAAGTCCCATTATTTTGATCGGAAACCCAAAGAGTGCATCTCTGAATAGATCCTCTTTGCTTAAGTCCCTGATATATGTGGTAAGAAATTCTTTCTGTAGGTTCCAGAGTTCCTGACTTATTCTTTGCCCTATGATGAAGATTTTGAGGTTCAAATTCATTAATCCCTTGCTTTACATTATCTGGCACTTTTAGAAAAAGCTGTCCTTTATCGGGTTTGGCATTCTTCCTTCTGTCAGTTGGCCTGTGGAAGTAGCTGTCCTGTCCTGGAGTTTGCACGACTGCAGTGAGCAGGACTGTGGGTGACTAGCAGTGGTAACTTAAGTTGTCTGGTGCCATGCACAGGGTGTGCCCAGTACACACCTAGAGTATGGACAGAAGTCTTACTTCTTTGATCCCCAATTGAGCCCAAGAACCAATTCCAAATACCCTAGTGGGAATTGGGGCCTGCCGTTTCTCATTCTCTAGTGCTCATTTCTATACCAGGTAACCCCTGATAGATACTGGGGGTTAGGACATCAACATATGATTTTAGGAGACACAGCTGAACCTGTGGCATCTGGCATGTTTCCCTCTATGTCAACACTAGACATTGTTAATCAGGGGACTGGAGTGACCCTTCAGAATCCTTTCTAGTACAGTGTTTTTGGCGGGACCAGGGATTGAACTCAGGCCCTTGCACTTGCCAGGAAAGTGCTTATTCCACTGAGCCATCTCCCCAGCCCCTAGTACTGTGTTTTTGATGGTCACAACCAGTTGTAGAGGTGATAACTTATGTTGAAATCACTTTATAACCTTGCTTTGATAAAATTTTTGCTTTGATTGAGACAAATTATGATTGATGCCAAGTCAAGACTTGAATACATTTCAATATTAGCATTATAAAGTTTTTTCCCCCTCTAACCAGAGGTATTGAATGTACGGTTTCCTTCCTTCTGGGCAAGCTCTTACTACTGAGCCACCCCTGTGCCCCGAGTCCTACAGCTGCTTTTTTTTTGCCCCCTGGTGGTGGGGATTGAATTTGGGACCTTGTGCTTGCCAGGCAGGTGATTATGCTGCTGAGTTATATCTCCAGCTAAAGCTGCTTTTAAAAAGCTGTGTGTTCTTCAAACACTTTCACTTTAATCATGTCTTCATTTGGCAGGGTGGCCTTTGTATATGCAGCATTTTTTTACTCTTTAGATTTCTTTTGTACATTAGAAGTTTTATTCTTAAAGAGAGTTGCTAACATTTGTTTTCCTTCCTGTATCTTTTTTTTTCTTTCTTTCTTTTTTCTTTTCTTTCTTTTTTTTTTTTTGGTGGAACCGGGGATTGAGCTCAGGTCCTTGTGCTTGCCAGGCAAGCACTTATTCCACTGAGCCATCTCCCCGGCACCCCTGTATCTTTTTTTAAATAAAGATTATTTTGTGTTTTCATTAAAATTTATTTTATCTCTCTACAGACAAAATAATTGTGGGCAGTTTTATGGGATACCTTAGAATCTTCAACCCCCATCCGGTTAAAACGGGTGATGGAGCTCAGGCTGAAGATCTGCTTCTAGAAGTGCATCTACAAGACCCAGTTCTTCAAGTGGAAGTAGGAAAGTTCGTTTCGTAAGTACAGCCCAGGCATCCTGGTATTGCATGTGCAGTGTCAGTTGCTTACTGTGTCACTTCTGTGGATTCTTCAAAGAAGAATTATATGTGTTCTGGAAGTTGGTGTGCAGGTGTTCCTCATGTACTGAGCACTTTTTTTTTAATATAGAAACCTCTACATTTATTTTATTTTTATTTATTTATTTTTTTTGTGAGCAGAATATATTTATTGAGAGAAAGAAAGCTCCCGTCCAGAGAGAGGGACAGGAGGGGGCCCCTGGGTAGTTCCCCCCGTAACCTCTACATTTATGATAGACTAATGTAGGGCCTTTTTATAGTAACAGACCTGAGGTACCTGACATAAAGAGTCTTAAAGGAAATAGATAATTTCTAAAAATAAATAAATAGGAAGCATTTACTTATTTAAACAGCAACTTGTTCAATTGGTATGTCTATTTATATAATTAGTCATAATGTCAGATAATTGTTATTTTTAGCTTAAAACTTTGAAGTTTTAAGATAATTTACTTGTATGGAGTCCTCTCTTGAAGAATGACAGCTTAACCCACAAAATAAGTCTTTTCCATACAAGAGATTTGTTTCAAAGTATTTTACTTTTAAACTTAATTTATTTTAGAAAAGTACTAGTTTACACTTTGTGTAATATATCTGCTTTTTATTTCCTGATGATATTGCTGACTTTATCTTATTTTCATATGTGAATTCTTAAAATTAAGCCCATATTTCTTAATCTTTTAAAAGTAGTGTGAAAAGTTATCATATAGGCACAGGTGGTTTGTTTGCCTCTTCTTTTTGGGCCCCCGTGCCCTCTTAAGTCAGTTTAGTATCCTGAATTTTGAATTTGGCTCACTCTGCTTGTTCATTATAATTGATTGGCCTCAGGAGGTATTTGTTTGGGGCTCTGACTCCTGTTTGGAAAGTAGGTTCAAACTCCTGTTTTGAAATCCTGCTGTGCATTCTCTGTCCTCCAGTGGCCATTTTGTCTTGCTGGAAATGTACAATGTGAGTTCCTTAGCCAGAGCATGAGGTAAAAGTTTTTTATGTGGGCACAGGCTGGACCTGGGAGGGTATGATGTATAAAGCTGGTCCATCTCTACTCCTTTTATTCTATTTTGTTTTTTGTCTTGTTGAGACTGGGTCTTGCTATGCAGTTCAGACTTGTAGTGATCCTTCTGTCTCAGCCTTCCCAGCACTGGCATTACAGGCATATGACACCACACCCAGTTTCTGGGCCAGCATGGCACACCTAAAGTTCTGAGGATCAAACTCAGGTCCTTGCACTTGCCAGGCAGGTGCTTAAACCGCTGAGCTATCTCCCTAGCCCCAATGAGTGGATGTTCTTGTTGGCTTTTATAAACATTTGTCTCAGTCTTATCTGCAAGGCCAGTGAGATCTACTACTCAGTCATAAAGAAGGACAAACTTGATACTTTTATAGCTAAATGGATGGACCTTGAAACCATAATCTTAAGTGAAATTTTAAATAGGGCACATATATGTAAATATCACATTGCCTTTCTGGAGTGAGAAATAAAATTTAAATGGGAACTACAATATATAGTATATATTGTAAAATAGAAAGAAATTGTTGAAAAGTAAAGGGGAATGGGGGAGGATAAAATGGAAACAAAGCTTTGTAAATAAGGAAGGGAAGAGGAGTAGAAGGGAAGGGAAGGGAATGGGGAGAAAAAGAGGAACTAAGATTTTTCATATATAGGTACAAATTCCCTCTGATGAATGTGATCATTATGTATATTTGAATTATGCAATATACTATAAATTTTTTCTAAAAATAAAGTTTCTAAATACTAAGAAATAATGGAACTGGAGTTTGAGTGTAGGGGCCACACAGCCAAGACTCAGACCTGTCTCTGACTCCATATTAACTTTCTTAAATGACGTCATGCTGTTTTCATGTTTTGCCTGTCCAATTGCATAAAAGTATCTCTGAAGGCACAATCAAGTAGTGTATAGTTGTGTATATTTGCATGATAGATGTGCATATTTGCATTTTCTGGCAGTAGCACAAGTGATCAATATTTATGTGTCAGAGTATTAGTGTTTTATAGATATTATCTAAAATAATTCTTATTTTGTGAATGACCCGATAACCCTCGGAATATTAAACACATTTAGTAAGGTGCCGAGTTGGAACCCTAATCAAGGTCTTCACACTCGAATCACAGTCCTTGCAGTTTAGGACGGAGCTTGCACAGAAATTGCACACTAGAGGCTGCTTCGTACGTGGGCTGCAGTGTTTTAATTTAAGAGCTGACAATATTTAAGAACCAGAGGCTGCACATAAAATGCCTGCTTTCTTTCTTTCTTTCTTTTTTTTTTTGCACTTCAAAATACTGTGTTTATTATGTCTGTAAATGAAAAATTTGCTTAAAAATAGTGTATATTGTATAATTTTAGTCCTTGAGCCAAATATTATTTTTCACCAAGATATAATTTTCACACAGTACAATGCACATTTTTTTCTTGTACAGCCTGACTTTTCAATAATTTTATAGACCTGTGCGATCACCAGGGCCGTTAGGACTTGGAATATGTCTGTTAACTCAGGAAATTCCTTCCTGCCCTAGCCAGCCGCCCTGCCCTGCTGCACCCAGAGTCAGCTGCATTCTGATTTCTAACACCATAGTTTACCATCTGGTATTTCTCATGGATGGAGCCCAAAGCTTTTAAGCTCATTCATAAGATTGGGTGTGCACGAGCCGATTCTTGCTCCTCCTCTTCTTCCTCTTCTTCTTCCTTTTTTTGATCTGTCTTCACTACAGAACAGTGATACAGTTTTGGCCATTGGTTAAGCGTTTGTAACATATCACAATCACTTTCAACCCCTTTATTCCTGTTTTTTATCCCTCTCTCCTTAATCTCTGAAAATATTGTTTCCTATCATCTCACTTCAATTCTATTGATTGATATTTGAGGTTTCTCATATAGTAGAAATCATACATTTTACCTTCTTTGTTTAGTCTTGATATTGTGTACTTACCTATAACTTTAATTTATACAGACTAACTATATGTAAGTAAAATGCCTGCTTTCTGGCTTTTCTTGATTAATGTGGAGATCTGGTTACAAGCTCAGAACCAAACAGTAGCCGCCTCCTGAAGTCTGGCCCAGCCTTGGGTTTATCACAGCTGCTCCTGGGGCTGGGGAGGTAGCTCAGAGGTCTAAGTGCCTGCGTGGCAGTTGAGGTGGGCACATTGTCCACCCAAACCGGGCATGGTGGTGCACCCCTATAATCCCAGCACTGGGGAGGCTTAACAGGAGAATCACTATGAATCCAAGACGTGTAGTGAGATCCTGTATCAAATACATATAAAAAAAAATCACAATTGTTCCTATCCTGTAGTCATAACCTCCATCAGCTTGACTCTCAAAGACTGTAAGTTTAGGAATTGTAGCCTGTACCCTGTTGTTCCTGGAGACCACTTGACATGGACTGGGAAGTAGGGCAGGGTTATTGGGATTGTACTGAATGTTGTCAGCATTTTAATAACATTTCAAATCTGGAAGTGATACAGGCCTTTTCTTAATGATGAGTGTTTGTAGACCTTTATGCTTTAGGAGGTGCTTACATGATTGTGTTTCATTTAATTGAAACATTTTATTTTCTACAGGCTCAGGGAGGTTAAGTGGCTTAAGCGCCAGAGTGACAGGTTAATTACAGAGGCAGACCACTCTGTAGCTCCTTACTGTGGTACAGTCCTCTGGTTCTTCTGGAAGGTGATTCTGGGCTCACTCTTCCTCCAAGTCCCCATTGTTTCAAAATGCAAGCAGCTCCTGGAGGCAGTGTATTTTTTCCCTCCTTCCCTCCTTGCTTTCCTTCCTCACTCCCTCCTTCCCTCCCTCCCTGTCTCCCTCCTTCCAACCCTGGCTTCTTGCCTTTTTTTTTTTTCTTTTTTTGGTGGAGCCAGGGATTGAACTCACGCCCTTGTGCTTGCCGGGGAAGCACTTATTCTACTGAGCTATCTCTCTGGCCCCGCCTTTTTTTTTTTTTTTTTCTTGCTTGACATGGTCTCACTGAATTTCTCAGGCTGGCCTCAACTTGGGATCCTCCTGTTCCACCTTCCTGAGTAGCTGGGGTTGCGGGCAAGTGCCACAGCACCTGCAAGACAGAGTATTGAGCCTATGGGATTGTCAGCTTGCATACTTGTTAACTTTATTTTTGAGCTTAGAGTATTAGCTAATTAATTGTTTTGTTTACTTACAGGGGTTGTTGTGAGATCTTTTTGAAATTATTTTGAAACTTTTTGGTTTTATCTGAAATTAATATTTAAAACCTTTGAAAACTTTCTTTTACAGAGGTACTGAAATACTTCATTTGGCTGTGTTGCATCCTAGAAAACTTTGTGTCTACTTTGTCTCAGGTAAGAAACAGTTTCCTTCCTAGTATGGACTTTGTATTGAAAACTAGGCTTTCTTTTCTTTTCTTTTTTTTTTTTTTTTAAATAAAGTAAATGTTCCTTAGTTTTGACTGGTTGAAGAGTCAAACCAGTCATTGGGTAGATTTTATTGTTAGCATTTTCCTATTATTTGTTATGTTTTCAGATATTTAAGATATTGTATTTTCTTCTCTCCTATTTCTTTGTATACTGTAATTTCTAGCAGGTGGTTTCTTCTGTTCCCTTCCATTTAGGAATTGTGTTCAGAATTGTTAGGACTACTAGAGGCTTCTTCTATGGACTTAGGACCCTTGAGTCTTGAGAACTGTTCAGTAACAGAAAAATTCATTAGGTGCTGAGACACAGTGGCTGAGGTGCATTTTCTTGGTAAACTGCGGGTGTTCTCTTGTTGGTACCAATTTTTTAGCTTTAAATTGTCTTGGCTCACTTAGACTACAAGACACTTAGGCAACTTAAGCAGGTTTTATTCTCCGATACGCTTCTGTGGGGGCAGAATTTGGGTTCAACATTTACAATTTTTTAAAAATTTTTTATCTTTTTGAGATAGGGTCTTGTGCAGTTCAGGCTGGCCTTGAGCTCACTTTGTAGCCCAGGCTGGTCTTGAACTTCCAGTGGTCCTCCTGCCTCAGCTTTCTGAGTGCTGGGATTGCAGGCATGCACCACTGTGTGTGGCTGGCTTCAGCATTTTCTGTATATGGAGTTCCTGTAGAACCACACCATGTACAGAATCCCTTATGGATTCTTTTGAGATTTTCTGTAAGTATTAGTTTCTAGGATTTGGATTGGTTTGTCTTCTTCTCTTGATTTGGGTCTTCTTTGTAATTTTAGATTGGTAATTTGTATGTGCCATCACTAAGCTGGATATTCTCAGGCAGTCTCTTTGGGGTAAAGAGCTGCTGACTCTCTAAAGCAGGCCTGGGGGCCAGGCACATGGTGTAATGTTATATCCGGTACATGCTCATTGGATGGATGTGTGATGGATTTCTAGCCTCCCTAGTAGCACGTGATATTTTACTCAATGAGCTACTCAGGCCCTGGAGGAGAACTTGCCCATAGATACCCTGAGTACCTCTTGGGCAGTGAGTCTCTTCTGGAAGCCCTGTGGGGGTGCTAGCTAGAGCCTGAGAAGAGGGGCATCTTAGGAACAACAAATTAGCTTAGCTTTTTGGTCTTCTCTGGTTCGTATGATTTATGACCAGAAAAACCTGAAGCTTTTTGACTGCCACCATGACTTGTTTGGTCACAGTTTCTTTATGGGACATTGGTATTTACCTATAAATTAATGTTGTTAATTTATTTATTTATTTACAAGGTCTTGCTATGCAGCCCAGACTCATAAGGATCCTCCCGTCTCAGCCTCCCCAGTGCTAGGATCACAGGCGTGCACCACCATGCCTGGTTTCAGGGCTGGTGTGTGGTACTGAGGATTGAACTCGGGGACTGTGTGCTTGCCAGGCAGGCGCTTAGGCAGCCGAGCTATCTCACCAGCCATTTACCTATAAATTAGTGTTCCAAATGAAAGTTATTTGCTCTGGGAATGATTTTATTGTTCTTTTATTTTGTGTGTTAATTTAAAGGTTTGTATTCTCTAGTGACAAGAAGTTGCCTAAAACTACATTCCCTTAGTCCCACCTCACTTCCCTCATCTCTCATTTCTTCAGCCTATTGAATTACTTGTAGGCTAACAATTTATGTATTTGTCTTGGCTTGGCTTAAGTTGAGAAATAGGGGATATTAATATTTTTATTCTCTTGAGTATGTGTTGGGGTCCCGACTGAACTTTTTCTGGGCTTTCACTGCAACAGGAAAGGTACAAACACCTCTAGTGTCTGTTATAGCTCTGTGGTCAGCAGATTAAAGTAACAGCTAAACTTACATCCTTTCTCTTTCCAGATACAGTATTTTTGGTTTTCTTTTATAGTCTGTGTGCATCTAAAAATGAATTGAGGTGCACTTGAGGAGATGCCTTGGCAAGTTGCTTGGACGTGGGGAGCGACCTTTGGTCAGCAGGGTGACTTCTTTTGGTGGGTATTTTCTTAGTACAGAGAGGCACTAGGGCCTCACTGGCTTGAAGGTGCACCCTCATTGCGCTCTGGTGGAGAGCAAGTATCCATGGTGTCTTGAGTTCCTTCCAGAGTAAGTGATTACAGACATGTAAGCTATATTGATTCTTTTCTTATAAATTGTCTTTTTCAAACAACAGGTATTTACTGAGCACCTTGCCTCTTTATGGAATTTTAATGGTTGCCAAGAGGAGGACAAAAAGATGCAGATCTTTACTGTTGATGGGTTTATATAATCTGACTTAGTTACTTACCACGCTGAGTAATGGCTTTGATTTCATTGAATGTCTTTAGATTATTCAGCAGTTATCTAAGGTTACTTTGAAATGGTTGCAAGGAGACCTTTGGAAGTTTTTTTGTGTGTGGTATAAATCATATTTTCTTATGAAGTAAGATCAGCATAAATGTTCTAATATGTTTTGCACCTGGGGCTTTGTACATTATATGCTAATATTTTGGGATTATGAAGATTGGACATAGTTCCCCATGCATGCTAAACAAGTAAAGTACTGTGCTATACCCTCAGTGGCTCTATTGATTGGTTAGAGATATATTAACAAGAGAAAAACAGAAATTCATTGACATGTATGTTGCATCTGTATCCACGGGAGTACTCAATGTAATTAGCACTTGAGCTTCAAAACCATTATAGGCTAAGTAAAGGAAATGTATTTTGGGTTTCTAGACTGAAAAGGTGACCAGGAAAAGTATGATAAATAAGAGCTATATAGTAAAGTTTATTATGAAGATTTAAGTCATAGATTCTTCATTATGAATTAAAATGTTGAGGGTTCTTTTGCTTAATTCATACAGAAATCATGAATTGGGCAAAACACAGCTCTTCTATCAGTCCTGATGCCAAAGGTTGACACCAGTTAATGCTGGATGCCGTTTTGGATTCTGGCGGTGGTAGGTGTTTGCTATTGAAAGCTGCCTCTGTTCCATGCTGGCTTCTGCTGGATTGTCAATGAACTCTACCAGAGGCTGGTCTCAGTTGTTGATCTTCATCAGCTGCAGGTCTCTGGAGCTGTTCAGGGCTAACAGCACTTAGTATTTATAGCTTTTTCATTTATAGCAACTACTTTGTCAATACTACTCATGTTATGAATCCTAAGGAGATTTCCAGGACCTTCTGAGCCCACATTACCTGAGAAGCAAGTCACAACCAGATATGCAGGACCACTAGAGCGAGCCTTTGTTTAAACAGAACCTATGCAGCAAGACAGAGGTCTGTGCACCAGAGAAGCCCTCCTAGACCAACCTGAGGAGGGCAAAGGGTGCTGTTTCTGAAACCACAGTAGGCCTGTGAGTAGTCCATACATGAGCCTGCTGATTGGTCCGTGCTGTTCTAAAAGCAAACCTGACCCAAGCCTGTTGATGGATCCAAACTCAGTTCTATTTATTAGTTTAAATTGGAGCCTGCTACAGTCAGGAAAAACATCTGCTGAAGCAGGAACTGGGTGTCCAAGACAGCTGTCCTGATGGCTGCCCTGTTGGTGTTTGAGGAGCGTGGGGATGTCAATAATGGGTTCTGATCCCCCACCCGTCTTGGCCATGTTAGAGGCAGTGTCCCTATCATATCTGCAAAGAGGTGGCAGTGCTTGGAACTTCTGGAGCAGGAGGTGCTACAGCTGACTGCCAAGTGCACCCCTGTAAGAACAGGCAGGAGGAGCGTGGATGCTATATAAGCAGGAGGACACTGAGTCCTGTTGTCCCAGTCCACCCTGGAGGGGAACTGGGAGCAAAGGAAAGCAAGGGAGAGAGGCAAGTCAGCCATTGGCCAATCCTGCCCCTTCTTTCATTAGAGGAGAAGGGAGGAGAAAACCAGGCACTTCTCGTCTGCCTGGTATAGGATAGGGAGATGTCTTTATAAATGGAAATTTCCTCTATAAATGTCAATTTGCTTTACAAAATTACACTTGTGCCTTCTTAGAATGTTCATTGCTATTTTTTAATGGTCTTTTTTTTTTTT